AATGATCACGGTGTGGACTCATAGTGAAGTGTTCTCAGTTGCCACAATGCTTAGATTAATATATCAAATAACAATTTTTTCATATGCATATTAGGCCAGTCTTTCTTTATTCCTTGTTTCTCGAGTTTTTATAAGGCAATTTTTTTGAGGAGGGTGGAAAAAAATAAAATTAATTCTTTTTTTCCAATAGATTTGTGTGATTCTCAAAGAATTGTAAGTGAGATCATTGATCGGAGAGAAGAAATGAAATAACATTTTATTCCATGTATAACCTTGTTTCTCATCTGTGCAAGGCTTCGGTACTTTGATCATAATACTCCCACGAAAATGCAACTTAGATTTGTTATGCGGCGGGCGGTAAAAAAATGAAGATAAAAATAATATTTTTTTAGCATTTTTTTGCAAGTCGGCGGGCGCGAGAAATTACGCTGAAATAAAATTTTATTTTTATTTCATTTCTCATGTTCATTCGGCGGGTTCGCGAAACAAGGGATAATAAAAGTCTGGCCTTAGTTACATTGTTGAGCAATTACCACAAGAGAACCTGTATAAATACAATTGTACTATCCTGCCTGTACAAAGCCTGAAACCAGTGTTGTATGAATACTGTAAAATGACAAATATTCACTGGGTTTAAATTTCGCTGATTTACCATTTCAGGCATATTCAGTGGGTTTTAAATTCATAGTTTTATCATTTAGATAATGTGTTCTATGCTAAATTTTACATATTCACTGGGTTTTAATTTAGCGCATTTTCCAGTCAGCGAAATAATCTAAATTAAAACCCAGTGAATAATTAACCCCTTTGCAGTAGATGACATTATGAGATTATCACAAGTATACTGCAAAGTACTTTGTGGATGTCAGTGTGATTCCATGCAGCCTAAGCGCAAACTTTTTGGTATTCTTGTAATAACCTTATTACTATATACATGATTTTCTTGCTTGTAATAATAATTTAATGAGAGATTAAAGCCCGAAGTGGCAACACAAATGTGTTGCGCAGTACAAATGTTATATAATAGTGCAGTGCAAACGCTATTTATTTGAATATGATATATAAGAGAAAATTTGAATGTTCTATCAAACGCTGATACGATTTGCTTTTGACAAAATCGCAAATTCTATTGTTTTCTGTACTCGATGTATTATAAATATATATATGTGCCCTGAGTGAGACTAGATTTTCTGTTCGGGAATCAGGAATTAATAATTGCAATCCAAAATGTCTGAAGAGACCTAGCTCGCACAATTTTTATTTCTTTTTAA